CTATGGATATCTGCCAGGCCAGCCGTGACCATAGACCAACTTAGGCCAAAAGCCTAAGCTTGGGGGAGTACGTATTTCCCACCGACATTACATTCATGTTCACACACTCATTGCTAGATGTCAGTGCTCATACTTTTTCATTGTATCATCATGCTAGTTTATTTTCGTTTTTATGCTTTCTTCTTGTGTGTTTAATAAACCTTAAGAAAAACGAAAAAAATAGTTGTAGCTTTTAATTAGTTTACTTCCATGCTTGTAGTATTAATTAAAAAGAAAACCCAAAAAGATTTCTTGTTCTTCTTTTGCTTGTTGGGAGCTTTCCCGTGTAAATAGTTTTATTTCTTTTCTTTTCTTTGGGGGTCGATAGGAGAAGACCATAATTAAATTATTGAAGCGGCTCTTATATGCATTATTGTTGATCTGACAAAAGAGCCCATATTGTCTTGTCTTCTCATGTTTATTGAATGATTGCAGATTCCAGCTTAGTCCAATGCACGTGCACTGTTATTATTACTAACATCATTCGGTCGTGCAAGTGAAAGGCAATTATGACGATATATGATGAACTGATTAAGATGAGAAAAGCTGGTATGAACTCGACCTCTCTTGTTTTTGTAAATATGATTAGTTCATCGTTACTAATTCACCCTATTATGAATAAACATGTTTGCAATGACAACTAGAGATCATAGTTTCTTGTGCTATGCTTGATTAGCTAGGAGCTTATAATGGTTTACCTTGCGTGCCAACATGCTATTAAAATGGTTGTGATGTGGTATGATAGGGTGGTATCCTCCTCTAAATGATTTAAGTGACTTGACTTGACACATGTTCACGCATGTAGTTAAAAAAAATCAACATAGCCTTCACGATATTTATGTTCATGGTGGGTTATATCCTACTCATGCTTGCATTCGGTGTTGATTAATTTTGATGCATGTTCATGATTGTTGTCACTCTCTAGTTGGTCGATTCCCAATCTTTTTCTAGCCTTCATTTGTACTAAGCGGGAATACTGCATGTGCATCCAACTCCATAAACCCCAAAATTATTCCATATGAGTTTGTAAAAGTTTTCTTTATCACTTTCAGTTTATCAACTGAATTGCTTGAGGACAAGCAAAGGTTTAAGCTTGGGGGAGTTGATACATCTCCGTCGTATCTACTTTTCCAAACACTTTTACCATTGTTTTGGACTCTAACTTGCATGATTTGAATGGAACTAACCCGGACAGACGTTGTTTTCAGCAGAATTGCCATGGTGTTATTTATGTGCAGAAACAAAAGTTCTCGAAATGACCTGAAACTTCACGGAACGTCTATTTGGAAATAATAAAAAATCCTTGCAAAAGATGAAGACCAGGGGGCCCACACCCTAGCCACGAGGGTGGGGGCCCTCCTGCCCCTCTAGGGCGCGCCCCCTACCTTGTGGGCCCCCTGGAGCTCCTCCGACCTCAACTCCAACTCTATATATTTGCTTTCGCGGAGAAAAAAATAAGAGAGAAAGGATTCATCGCGTTTTACGATACGGAGCCGCCGCCAAGCCCTAAAACCTCTCGGGAGGGCTGATCTGGAGTGCGTTCGGGGCTCTGGAGAGGGGAATCCGTCGCCATCATCATTATCAACCTTCCTTCATCACCAATTTCATGATGCTCACCGCCGTGCGTGAGTAATTTCATCATAGGCATGCTGGACGGTGATGGGTTGGATGAGATTTATCATGTAATCGAGTTAGTTTTGTTAGGGTTTGATCCCTAGTATCCACTATGTTTTGAGATTGATGTTGCTATGACTTTGCTATGCTTAATGCTTGTCACTAGGGCCCGAGTGCCATGATTTTAGATCTGAACCTATTATGTTTTCATCAATATATGAGAGTTCTTGATCCTATCTTGCAAGTCTATAGTCACCTATTATGTGTTATGATCCGTTAACCCCGAAGTGACAATAATCGGGATACTTACCGGTGATGACCGTAGTTTGAGGAGTTCATGTATTCACTATGTGTTAATGCTTTGGTCTGGTACTCTATTAAAAGGAGGCCTTAATATCCCTTAGTTTCCGCTAGGACCCCGCTGCCACGGGAGGGTAGGACAAAAGATGGCATGCAAGTTCTTTTCCATAAGCACGTATGACTATATTCGGAATGCATGCCTACATTACATTGATGAACTGGAGCTAGTTCTGTGTCACCCTAGGTTATGACTGTTACATGATGAACCGCATCCGGCATAATTCTGTATCACCGATCCATTGTCTATGAGCTTTCCATATATTGTTCTTCGCTTATTTATTTTTCCGTTGCTATTGCTATCATCACACCAAATACCAAAAACATTACTTTCACTACCGTTACCCTTTGCTATCGTTACCACTACTATCATATTACTTTGCTACTAAATACTTTGCTGTAGATATTAAGTTTTCAGGTGCGGTTGAATTGACAACTCAGCTGCTAATACTTGAGAATATTCTTTGGCTCCCCTTGTGTCGAATCAATAAATTTGGGTTGAATACTACCCTCAAAAACGGTTGCGATTCCCTATACTTGTGGGTTATCAGGGCTTAATTTTTGTTGTTCCAGCGCGAGGGGAGAACTTTCCTACGCACTCATTTGCCAAATATTGGCATGCCAATTTTTGGCATCAAACCAACCATGCTAGAAATCATCCATACTGACATACTAACATACACATGCATACACTGATACACCCAAGACACCGAACTGTTACAACCAAGGGTGAATTGTGCCCACTAATGTAATTAAAATAGCTTTACTTTTGTTCCTACACACCATATGTTTCATTACCACACAAACAGCATATTCAGTACAACACCACATTGCTGAATATAGATAGTAACAAGAAATTTCCACTGCAAAATCATAGGCTCCGCAAGCATTCCCCCAAAATAAACATCCAATCCCTTAAAAAGGATACATACCTGATTTACAAGCTAGTAAGGGGGAGAAAGGCTGCTTCATGTTGTTGCCCATTTCACCTCCCGTTCCCTGAATCACACACGCAAAAGCACGCTAGAATTCTCACATCAGAAGGCATATCAGACGACACATGACCCAAAATCGAACACAAAGGAAAGGAGCTCTCCTTCAAATACCTGCGTCATGGTAAGAGCTTCAGAGTCAGTCGAGGGGTTCTGTCGTGCTGAGGATTGAGGAGGCCCAGGGAGGGCGGCCGGCGAACTATGGACAGAGACTACAACCAGCAGTTGTGGGCTGGGGCTGCGCACTCACGCAGATCGATGGGACTGGGTGGGGAACCAATCAACCAGGGGTTCTCAAAAGTGGGGAGGCCGGGATTACGGCGGGTAGAGGATGGCGGCGGAACAGGAATGGCTGAGTAGGGAGGCGACGGCGCGGCGCGACCGCATGAGCGCTGGAGGTTGCGAGCTAGATTGTGCATCGTGCCTGTGTGTGTGTGCAGTGGCGGAGAGCAGCGTGGATCGATCGTCGGTGTGAACCAATAGGCATGGGCCTTCGTTTGTTCTGCGTTACAGATGGGTTGTACCCCGGGCCTATACGAAAATCTATCTAGGTAATAGCTAGGAAAAAATACCACGCCCCGGGCCTGGGCCCTAGGTGCCCAGGGCCTGGCTCCGCCCCTGCTCAATCCCACAGTATGTTTTACATATTTCACAATCCTCTTGACAACTTTCCAATGTATAATGTTGGGTGCATGCAAATATGATAAACTTTGTTAACAGCAAATGAGATATCTAGGCGTGTGAGAGTCAAATACTGGAGTGCTTCCACAACACTTCTATACCTTGTGCCTTCTTCCTCCTGAAATGGCTCTCCTTCATAAGCTGAGAGTGTTTCCGAGGAAGACAAAGGTGTAGTTGCAGGTTTGCAGTTCTTTATTCCCATACAAGATAGAATCTTAGTGGCACATTTTTTCTGATTCAACACTATCCCATCTTGTGTTTTCTTGACTTCAATGCCTACGAAGAAGTGCAAGTCACTTAGATCCTTCAAAGCAAATTCTGAGCTCAAATCATGCAGAAGAGCATTAGTATCACTTTGTGAAGATCTTGCAACTATAAGCACAAAGATAACTATTTTTGCCTTGTTGTAAATAAACAAAGATGTGTCAACTTTGGATGCAATCAAGCCAAGACCTCTTAACTAGGAGCTTAATCTAGAGTGCCATGCTCTAGGTGCTTGTTTCAAACTTGCACACATAATGCGGTATTTTCTTGTCTTCATACCCCGGTGGTTGTTTCATGGAGACCTCCTCTTCAAGAACACCATGCAAAAACACATTATATACATCTAGCTGTCTCAAACTCCACCTCCGGATATGGCAATAGCTAACACAAGTCTTATAGTTGCAAAGTTTACAACATGACTAAAGGTATCTTTTCTCTCAGGAACTGACCAACCAGAGGGCGACAACTAGCTTAGCATAGATGGGTACAGAAGCAGAGAAACGCACGAGCTTTATTCTGACGATGGGCTTTTACTTTGGTGGTCGACTCTTTTACGTCTTTCCTCTCAGAAACTGGCCAACCAGAGGACGACAACTAGCTTAGCATAGACGGACACAGAAGCAGAGAAACACACAGGCTTTATTCTAGCGATGGGCTTTTACTTTGTTGGTGGACTCTGTTTCTGTCTTTTCTCTCAGGAACTGACCAATTAGAGGATGACTACTAGCTTAGCATAGATGGGCACATAAGTAGAGAAACACAGAGGCTTTATTCTGGCGATTGGCTTTTACTTTGGTGGTCGGTTTTTTTTATGTCTTTCCTCTCAAATATGACTTTTCTTCAACCTTATTCTCTGTTGCTCTTTAGTTTATCTAATAAGAGCATGGTTAATAGTATAGCTGGACTATATAAAAATGCCATTCATCAAGAGTTCTATGTAATTTTGATTTGATTTTATTTATTTTGAATAGAGGGAAAGACCCTGAGCGCGTAATTTGATACACTGTGGATACTTGCATCAACCACAACGACCACCATAGCAGACCAGGTTTATCAGTTGCTGGCAGTTCCAGCCTCGGCGGCAAGCCGTGCCTGGATCGTCCCGGCGTACTCAACTAGCCTGTCGACGTCCTGGAAGACGGCCCTGGAGGCGTCCAGCTCGCCGAAGCACTCCATCCACGCCGCCAGCAGCGGCGCCTTGCTGGCATCAAAGAAGTTGTGGCCGGAGAGCCTCTCGGTGACGCGCACCCACGGGACCATGCCGCCGAGCAGGACGTCGACGTACCCGACGCGGTCACCGCCGAAGAACCCCTCGGAGCGCTCCCCCAGGGCCCCCTCCAGCGTATCCACCGCCGCGACGGTCCGCCGCGTCCACTCCGCCCTCTCCTCGTCCGTGCCCGACCGCATGACCATCCCCCACGGCGCCAGCAGCTCGTCGTCCACGAAGGCGGCCCAGAAGCGGGCGGCGGCGCGCTCGCGGGGGTCGGCGGGGAGTAGGGGCGGGCGGGTGTCACAGAAGGCCTCGTCGACGTACTGCACGATGACCCGGGACTCGCAGACGGGCTTGCCGCCGTGGATGGGCACCGGCACCGCCTTGTGGACGGGGTTGGAGCGGAGGAGCAGGTCGCTCTTGTCGGCGAAGTCCTCCTCGATGTACTCGTAGGGCACGCCCTTGAGGTGCAGCGCCAGCCTCGCCCTGGCCACGTACGGGCTCGCCCAGTTCCCCAGCAGCTTCACCTCCTCTCCTCCCGCCATTGCAGCTCCTCCCTCTCCTCCCGTGGAATTCTCTATCGATGGTGGGTGATTAACTAGTGTAATGGGGTGGACTATATGTAGAGAAAGAGTATCAACATGTGTACATCATCCATGAGGCTGAATTATGCCGACGATTTTTCGCCTAACACGTGCTCGTGCATACTCGATCAGCAACATTGGGGTTGGGGGGATAAATATTTTTCCATCTTCCCTCCTCTAGATAGTAACACTGCAACGTTTCGGCAACCCACCCACTCCCGGAATCCACGGAGCGAGGAAACTGCAGCTCCGTGATTTTCAACTGCAGCTCCACCCGCTCCGGGAGCGGAGTTGCGGAGCGGCGCGATTCCGAACAGGGCCTTAATTGGGTCTTCAAGCTAGTGGGTATATCCAACTATCCAAGCAAGCTTCCAGGCTCTCTACCAGAACTTGTTTCGAATAACTGAAGCACCACTTGCTCCAAAATGAGATGTCAGTTATTGTAGTTATTTCGACGAAGGGTGGATCAACTTGTTAAAAAAAGTGCATTTTCACTGTCAAATACCATATCAAAGTCAATGGGGATGTTACTGAAACAATCACACCCCAGAGAAGGCTTCACCAGGGGACCCATTTTTCCCACATATTGGATGTAATAACGTGGCATATTATATTACGGGACAGAGAAAGTATTTTTTTTTTATTGATGTGGTGGGGTTCTCAGCCATGCTACACATGAGAGGGTCACTTAGAGGAATTAAGATATGCGGAGGAGCTCCTAGTGTTAGTCACCTGCTTTTTGCAGATGATTCCTCAATGGAGGCCAATTCAAACATTGCTCAAGAATTCAATCACATATCGAATATATATGAAGCTTGGTCAGGAGAAATCATCTATTCCATTTAGTGAAAATATGAGGACTTGGCAAGGAAGAAATGAAGAGCAGTCTGAACTCTGAACATTATGTTGGAGGGCCTTTCGTCAAAATATTTAGGTCTTCCAACATAGCCCTGCCTCCTCTTGAGTCTTGACAGTCCGTGGAACTTGACACTTGACAGCACATGTTACCTGTGTGTAAATTCAGCCCAGTTTGTTCTGAATTCTGTTCATCCTTCCACTGAGAATGTTAAATGAAAAAAGAAAAGAAAAAACATGTGAGATGCCTTTGTGCCGAGGTAGTTGAAAGTCCATGCATGTCTCTATGGCATTCGGCTCGGGACGGCCTGGACAAACCTGTCGGTGTGCCACTGAAAATAAATTGGAAAATGACTCTGCTTTTATTGTTTCTCCTTTGCAGGGAGAGGCATACAGTCACTCCAGCCTAGGTTATATCCTCTGTGCAGTCCGGCAAGAAGCACCAGGTGCAGTTTCACCAAATCAAAAGAGACCAAAGCGAATTAGCACATGAGGTTGCAGATCATGCACTTGTCTCTGGAACAGAAGATAACTGGAATGCGCAACTTCCCAACAGAATTGCTCATGTAGTTGCTGTTGATTGTAACTTGTACTTTGCGTTAAATGAATTTGTGCGGTTGTAAACTCCAATCTAATCAATAAAACCAAGGTTGTCTAGTCCTGGAAAGTTTGAAAGATTGTAAAGCATGTACTCCCTCCGTAAAGAAATATAAGAGTGTTTAGATCACTACTTTAGTGATCATACTTTTTCCAACTAGGATCATGAAAAGGAAATATGTCTGCTAGAAACATCCTTATGTAGTACTCAATCTGTAACAAAATGTAAGACGTTTTTTATGCCCTACGCAAAACCAAAAAAACTCTTACATTTTGGTACGGAGGTGATACTTTTCTCTGATTGATTGCTGAGAATGACAAATAAAGATTATCAAGCTGGGGTTAGTAGCACGGTGATGCTGATGCTTTAGACAAGATTGACATGGAAGAGCCATCTTACACTACATATATCCTGAAGCACATGAAAAAGAATGGCATTTCCAACCTGCTTGTACGATGCACAACTAGAACTTGAAACAAACAGTTGGAATAGAAAGCTCCCAGACATGGAGTCCTGGAGAGTGACAGGAGCAATTGGCGACCCCGGCTGACTGAATCCGCTACTAATCTAAGGCTGTTTCTATGCTCCCACTTCTACCTGCCAATATATTGAAAGCCAGCGGTTGGATCTCAAATAAAAAATAAAAAAATCCGGCCTTATCAGTAAAATCAAGGTTGTCTAATAGAGTTCTGGAAGAGTTTGAAAGATTGCAAAGCATGTGCGACTTGTATGTTGTTATCATACTTTCTCCATCTAGGATCATGAAAAAGAAATCTGTCTGCTAGAAACATTAGAGGTTTTAGATCACTACTTTAGTGGTCTAAAACATCTTATATTAGTTTACAGAGGGAGTACTATTCTGTAATTGATTGCTGAGAATGACAAATAAAGATTATCAAGCTGGGGATAGCAGTAGCACAGTGATGCTGATGCTTTAGACAAGACTGACATGAAAGAGCCATCTTACATTACACTACATAATCCTGAAGCACATGAAAATAAAGGGCATGTCCAACCTGCTTGTAGGATGCACAACTAGAACTTGAAACAAACAGCTGGAATAGAAAGCTCCAAGTCATATGCACATAAACCTGGGAATAGTTTTGGTCTGAAACCATAGTTTCAATTTGGTTTTCCTGTTGGACTGCTTTGGTTTGGTTGAAATGGGTTGAGCCTCTATTGTAATTTGGTTTGGTGTGGGCTTCTGTAATTAATAGATTGGGTTAGTTTGGTCTGGACAGAGACAAATTGGTCTCATACCATTTTAGTCCATGGATAAAAACCAGTCTAACGACCAGTTTGACCTCATGTCACACAAGACTGGCACTAGGTTTGGGAGCAGCCGCAGCCGCAGCCGCAGATGAGCGACATGAGTGTGCGTTCACCTAGCCAACTCCTTCATGCAGAACATGAGGAGCCCAAAGCCGAGGCCTTGGACGATGTTGTTGACAATGGAGACTCGACCTTGCCGATGTGGCCGACGAAGGCGACAGTGACGAAGCCGATGAGGAACTGGAAGACCCCGGTCAAGATCATCGGCACAGCGATCTGCCAAAGGGTCTTGCACATATCCGGCAAGGTCTTGCAGCCGGCGACGGGCCACCGTCTCCGCGGACGGCGCCACCATCTGCTCTTCCGGTGCACGCACGGAGTACGTACACTGAAGCTCTTCAGACCAAGCACACACCAAGCTAGCCGCTGTTCGTACATGCTTCATGCGTTTCGTAGTTTTGCACGTACAGGTCAAGTTTGGGTTCCAAGTCCAACGTTCCAGTTGCTGCTGACTAAACCATAGTTTGAAACTTTGGGTTCAAACCATATCTAGAAAATGGTCTGGACGGATTTGGCTTGAAAATAAATACAATTTGGATTGGTTTGGATTGTACCATTTGCAATCTGGTTTTGTTCGGCTTGAGCGCTGGACTTGTACATGCATGGGTTGGCCTGGGTTTAGTTTGGATTACAAACTATTCCCAGGTTTATATGCACATATGGCATATCTATGGCAAATTGCAGATGTCTGAGACAAAACTGTTTGAACTGGAAGCTCTCAACCATGGGGGTTAGCTAGCGGCAATGTGCACACATGCATATCCTTGGAAATTTGCAAATGTACAATAGTTTTGTAATCAGTTCTAGTACTTCAGGGAGAGACCAGATGAGAAAACATAGATGTGTTACTTTCTAGTGCCCTGGTGCCTATCAGCTACTACACTAAAAGATACTGCATCCAGTCTTGAACTTACATAAATCCTGTCTAACTCCGATCCACCTTATTATTGAGCCCTCCAATTCCATCAAAGTGTAATTCTGCAGAGCTGGACACTATAGTCGATCCTTGTTGAACTTGAAATGGCATAAGTGTGTATTCTCCAAGAATTTGAGGCATAACCATTGTCGATGAACCTCCAGATGGTATTGCAGCTGTCACAGATGGATTTATGTTGCTAGTGGTAATAGCCAAGTCAAATGTTCTCTGCTCCAAATAAAGTCATAAAAATGACATGGATGCTCAGGTGTTTGCTACAAATAAAAAGATGAGAAACAAATATACCTGAGATGTGATGCTACTAGCTGGGCCATCCAAACAAACAGGTTGCTGACTCTGTTTCAGATTGCAAAACTGTTAGCTTAAAAAAATACATGAAAATAATATTGTTGAACAACTGAGAACAAGATTAGATACCGAATGTTCCATAACAGGTTGTTCTAGAATATCATCCACTGATGATTTTCTATTTTTTCGGGGCCTTTTCTTGTTTAAATTTGTGGAGGAAGCCTGAAATAAATGCAAAATTAGCGAGTTTTTATAAAAAGTGGCTTACGAGCAAACGTAATATAAGCAACAATACCTTTTGTTCAGCTTCCTTCTTCTTTTCGTTTGCTTGACAAATAAGCTTATCAAGCATAGATTCTTTTCTCGGTAGAGGACATCCAGCACACCTGACAGCTATTGGACTTGGTATAGTTTTACTTGTTGTCTTTCCATCCGAAGGTGCATCTTCCCGTGTAGCAACATGTTCCTTAACATTTTCAGAACTTGAGTTGCTAGAGAATCGAATTTTCAGGGTGTGAAGCTCTTCCGTCAAAGCATTGCATGAATCATCTGACATGGCGCCTATCTCTGCAACTGGGTAGAAAGAATTGCACAATCTATCAAAACGTTCTGCAGCAGGAGTGTCTTCCATGCCGCCATATGTGCATCTGATAAAGTTGTGCTTTCTATTCACATTTTTTTTCCACCGATCAAGGACGTATTGTGGCGGAACCTCCTTGATTTTCTTGTGAGTGAGCACACATAACACATGCCTACAGAGAATACCAGTGAACTCAAAGCGGCGACATGAACACTTAACTTCAAACTCTTCCTCACTGAAGTATACATGGTGCACAATATCTTTTCTCCATCCTTTATCTTCGTCAATCAGCACATCCTCGGTGATTTCATACGTTTCTATCGCCCCCTCCTTTTGCATCAACTTCCGATCACAGTATATAGTTTGTGTTA